TTCCAGGAAGACCCGTTGTCGCAAAACGGCCATGGATTCGACCAGCCACCCTTGACCTCATCGAGCAGCGGAACGCCGCCCGGGCTGAGGGGCAAGTCATGCGAGAAGCTTCCCTGAACAAGCAAATCAAATCCGCTGCCAAACAAGACCGAGCAGAATGGCTAGAGAGGGACCTGGCGGTTAATGTTTGGTCTGCTATTAAGCGCTTGCGGCATGGAACTTCGCACCAACAGCAAGGCCGACTAATGAATGGCAATCTCGTGGACTCAAACGACAGGGCTGATACAATGGCAACTTACTTCCAGGACGTGCGATGGGTTCCTGGCGCAGGGGAGGGCGTGCCATCCGAGCCTCGATTGGGCCCGGTGATGGACATTCCGACCAGAGAATTCTCCCAGCAAGAACTGAAGAAGGTGCTGTCCCGATTGCGGAGGGGAAAGGCAAGTGGGCCTGACAATGTGCCGCCGGACTTCTGGGCCACCCTTGGCCGCAATGACACTTCTCTCCAAATCCTGCTTCAGCTATTGAACTCATGCTGGGAGGCGCGGGCGATCCATCAATCCTTGGCTTGTTTTTCGGTGTCTGCAATATTCAAGAAAGGCAACCCAGCGCTGCCATCCAAGTACCGCCCTATTTCACTGTTGGCAGTGGGATACAAGGTTCTCAGCGCTTCGATTCTGGGTCGACTTCGAACTGAAGGCGTCGAGAACCGCCTCCGAGACAATCAAGTTGGTTTTCGCACTGGCAGGGGCGCCGACCTGGCCATCCTCACCGTGCAGCGCATCATGGACGCAGCGCAGGACCTGAGAGACGGCGAACTTTCCGTACTACTTCTGGATTGGTCGAACGCCTTCGACAGCATCGATGCAAGTGGCATTGCACAGGTTTGGTCTCCCCGAGGCCTATATCGACATGGTCGCGTCCGTATACAAATGCAGAACGTTCACAATGCGAGACACTGGCACAGAATCTGGCGCCCGCCAGCAGGCAGCCGGCGTTGCCCAAGGCTGCCAACTACCCGTATCTGTTCATCATTGTCCTGACCGTCATCATGGCAGATGTGAATTGGGAGCGGGGCGGTTGCAAAACAGACGACGTGGAGTATGCCGAAGACACGGCCTTGATTTGTACATCATCTACTTGCTAACAAGCATCCCTGAATAGCCTGCTGTCTCGAGCTGCCCCGTACGGGTTGCTTCCAAATTTTGACAAAACTGTCGTCCTGCGCATCGGCAACCTGGCGCCGATTCTGGATCCAGCACGTGTACCTCGGCGGCCTGCTGACAACCACCGGTTCCGTCAGATGCGCAGTATCCCAGAGATTGGGGGAGGCGAGGTGCACATTCACAATCCTGAAGGCACTCTGGAGCCATTCTTCTCTGAGCAGGAGTAGTAAGCAGAGGATTTACGAGGCGTGCGTCGTCACCAAACTATTGTACAGCTTAGACACAGAACGATTGAACAAAGCGGAGTCTTCTCGGATCAATTCATTCCACGTTTCTTGTTCAAGGCAGATCTGGAGGATACCACACCCCATGATCTCGAGAGTGTCCAACGAAAGGGTTTTGGAGATTTCCTCGGCGCGCCCGCTGGCAGACCAGCTGATTGCCAAGCAGTTATGCCTCTGTGGAAAAGTAGAACCAATGCCAGACACCAGCAGTGTTCGCAGATAGATTTTCGCACCCTCGTCAACGCAGCTGGCGCGACCGGCCGGCGTGCGAAAACGAGGGCGTCCAAGAGTCTCTTGGGGACACAGGGCCAGAATGCATGCGCTCAGGGCCGTCGGAGCAGACGAACATCGTCTGTCCGCCGTTCTGGGTAGAGACAGCGGCTGCTTCAACAGGTGGAAAACCGTTGTTCGACAATATGCCGTTTCGCTTTGACTGATCGCACTGTTGCCGATGTGCCGTCATGGCACGGCTTCTACTTACGCACGTACGTTCTCCTCCTGCTCCTCCCTCCTTCTCCCTCATTTTTCCCTGCTCCACCTCTGGCCATAACAGAAGCCGTGATGACGCGAACACGGTAGAAACACCGACACGATTATCCAGCACCGTGCCACCTAGCACGTGGAGGCGTGCTAGAATGCCACGTGCTGTCTGGCAAGGTGTCTGCCATCTTCTAAGCGGCCCACACAGCTCAGCACTCTTCTAACCTGAAGCCAGCGCCAGAATACAACCAATGAGCCCCGAGACGGCCCCGAAGGGTTCCCGAACGTCCCGAAAGAATCCAATTAGATACCACTCGGTCCGATGGAAATCTCAGACGGCCCACAACGTCCGCCAGAGAATATGTAAACTCTTACGAGCACACATGCAATCAAAGCCACCGGAAACAGTCGAACGACCTTTGATTATTTCTTGCCTTCGGACCTGCCATCTCTTCTGGGGTCGGCGGCAGAGGCGGCACCCTGTGAATCCGGCCGCTCCCGCCCGGCGGGTTGGGCCGTGCGAGACCTCTCTGACACAGTCGACGCGCCAAGACGGCCCAAGAGGCCCCCGAGATCGCCCCAGGACGGCCCAAGAAGCCCCCAAGAGGGCTCCAAGACAGCCCAAGAGGGCCCCAAGACGGCCCAAGAGGCCCCCGGGACGGCCCAAGAGGGGCCCCATGACGGCCCCAAGAGGGCGCCCAGAAGGGGAACCCGAATGGACATTTCGAGCTTTCGGTCCCAAGGGGCCCCCAGGAGGCTCTAAGAGGCCCCCAGGAGGCCCCCAAGAGGCCCCAAGAGAGCCCCAAGAGGCCCCAGAGGGCTCCAAGATGCTCCCAAGAAGCCGCCAGGAGGCCCCCAAGAGGCCCCTAAACTCCCCTGCAGAGGCCCCCCAGAGCTCTCTCGAGAGACCCCAAGAAGCGTCCATGAGGACTCCGACCCAAAACCCAAGCACGGTGGCGGGATGGGCCGACGGCCATTTGATAGCGCTCCGCGTCACGACTTTCGATGCTGCGCACCACTTCGGCAAACTCCCAGGGAGCGGCCGGTGTTGCGCCGCCGGCGTCCTCGATCCGGCCGCTTCCGCCCTGCGGGTTGGCCGTGCGAGACCACTCTGACAAAGTGCCTGGTAGGATTTGCCTGGGCCTGGTAAAAATCTCCCTGGACTCCCCTGCTCTGGGCCTCCACTCTGTCCGCGGTCCCTCGCAGACCCCCCCCGAGGCGAAGCTTTCAAGAAATCACAAGGGCTCCAAGACGACCCCAAAGAGCCCCAAGACGGCCCCCAAAAGGGTCCAAGAAAGCTCAACGTCGCCGACAGACCGTCCCAAGACGCCCAAGATGGCCTTGAGACGGTCCACGAGGCCCCTGAGACGCCCCAAGAGGGCTTCAAGAGGCATTCCAAGAAGGCCCCGAAAGGCAAACATCTTCCCATTTCTAACGGAAAACGTACACTTTTAACATGTGCGACTTTTTGGATTCTGAGCGTCCACGACGAGCCTACAAGCCCCCAAGATCGCCCCAAGATCGCTCCAGAGACCCCGAAGAGGGCCCGAAGACGTGCCAAGATGGCCCCAAGACGGCCCAAGACGGCACCAAGGAGGGCCCAGGAGCCAGAACTCGAAATTATATGTTTAGCTTTCTGCCCAAACGGGACCTCCCGGACCGCCAGCAGGCTTCCAAAAAGCCCCCAAGAGGCCCAACAGAGGCCCCAAGAGGTCCCCAAACGGCGTCCAAGAGCTCCCAAAGAGGCTTCAAAACTGTCTCCAAGAGACTACCGACCAGATGCGTCAAACTCCCAGGGAGCGGCCAGTGATGCGCCGCTGGCGTTCTCGAATTGACACTCCTTCTTTGATCAATCTCATCGAAGATGGCCCCCAAGGTTCCCAAGAGGGCCCCAAGAGGCGCCCAGGAGGCCCCGCGAGCCCACCGAGAGGGCCCCAAGAGATTCCCAATGAGCCCCCAGGAGGCCCCAAGAAGCTCCCCCGAGGCAGCCAAGTCGCTCCAAGAGGCCCCTGGGACCGCCAAGGCGCCGCGAAGACGCCCCGAGAGGACTCCGAAAAGCTCTCACGAGACATCCGAAGAGACTTCGAGACACATCCAAGAGGCCTCTTGCCTTTCTGCTCGCCCTCCTCCTCCTCCTCCTCCTCCTCCTCTTCCTCCTCCTCCTCCTCTTCCTCCTCCTCATCTTTTTCATCCTCCTCTTCCTCATCCACTTACTTCTTCTTTTCCCTCCTCCCTGCTCCCCCTCCCCCTCCTCCCCCTCCTCCTCCGATTGCTCCTCCATCCTCCCCCTCTTGGGTAATGACGGCTTCCTCTGCCCTTTACTCCATTGCATGCTCCTCCACATCCCTGATCAGAGCGACTGGCCTCGGCATCGTTTCTGGATGGGCTGGTGTGGCTACGCGAAGCGTCTAGAATTACGACCAGCTCGACCTTCGTTCCTCGAGAAACGAGCATCGACGACGACTACGACGACGACGACGACGAGCTACCCTGATCCAGGGCTGCGAAAAAATGGCAACATCGCAAAAAAATCGCGACCGGAGCCTTAGGCCCCACCTTTCTGCGGAATTTTTCGAACCGGGTCGATATGAGGCCCCGGGGCCCGAAATCGGGCGAAAACGCCCGTTGACAAGAAATGCAACGCGCGAATCTCAGGGACGGCGACGATGACGACGACGACGCCGCCGGCGACGGCGCGGCGACAACGATGAAAACGACGAAGACCGAAGGCGACGACGACGTCAACGACGACGACAGCGACCCCAGACATTCTCTGGCATGTTTCTTCAATCCGCGGCCCCAGAGATCCCGACCCCTTGGCTGGTGCCAGTCTTTCACCCCGTATCCATCTTGGACTGTCCCGGGGCCCGATAACGAACACAAGGGGCCGAAATCGAAGAAAGACGCTCATTCTGAACAAAACTTATTGTCGGAGATCTTGCACGGCGACGACGACGACGACGACGACGACGACGACCGACGACGACCGACGACGTCGGACGATCGACGTCCGACGATCGACGTCGGACGACGACGAGTGTCGCAAAGAGCTCGGCGCAAGAGCTCCAGCCTGTCGCAGGCGAGCGCGGACCGGTGGCTGCCGTCCTGTCTTCCGCGTGGGGCGGGGCGTCGCGGCGACCCCGACGGCAGCACAGGAAAAGACGACGACGACAACGACGACGACGA